TGCAGAACTCCTGCTGGGAACTGTGCCATCTGGAGGCCCCAGGAGCAACCACACTCCCAGTCCTGGGGGCAGCCTGGCTGGTCAAAAGCAGGGAGCAGGCTGTGGCCTCCCCCAGCAACCCTGCCTAGCACCAGGAAGCCAGACCCACCTGCCACCCCTTCCCTCCTTGGGACAGGCGAGGCTGTCAACCGCCTGGCATCTGTCTCCTCAGAGCCAGGAACCAGCACACGGGGACTGCCCTCTGGGAGACAATCGGGCCATAATGAGTGTGGATCGACATTGCTGTGCTGGGGAGGGCCGGGCTGCTGCTTTTCCACCAGAAGGGAAGGAGAAAGGCCAAGTCTTCACTCCTGACTCTTGTCCTTATCCTCAAACTTAAACCACGCCCAATAAAAGCACACATGGAAAGACCACGTTCCAGAATAGCAGCAGTGAGCACGCCAGAATGGTGGGTGACTTATTTTGTTAAATATGTCTTCTACATTTCCTGTCGTGCATGTAGCTGAAACACATACTTGTGTTCTCCTAATTTAGCAAAGTATAAAAGAAGACATTAAAATCCACTTTAAAAAGCTGCAGCCTCAGGCTGTCCACATGGGGCACTGCCCAAGCCAATGTGGCATCCCCAAGGTGCCGGCCACCACCAGAGCCAGTGACCTCAGGCCTCCTACCCACCGCCCAGGAGTGGTATCATTAGGGACAGGGCGTCACATGACAGAGGACGGTGCAGCCAGATGCCCACCAGCGGCAGGTGCGCCCCTGCCGGCCTCCCCTCCCCTCCTGCCACACATCTGCGCTGGTCTCGAAGCCTGCACCCCACCTGCAGCCTGAGCGCGGCAGGGAATGCCCAGTCTGCAGAGGGTGAGGCTGAAGGAGGAATAGGCCCGGCCCTTCCTACATGTCCCTGCTGTCACCACTGTCAGAGAAGTCAAGTCCCCTGGGCCAGTCACCTCCCTCCCCCACCCAGAGCCCACAGACGGAGGCTGGTGGCCAAGATGTCCTCAGGCTCCAGGCTTTCTGCCTTTGCTTTTTATTCAAATTCCTTGATGCTTGTGGGTTCACACACAGCTGTGAGGACCCCTTCAAGCCTCTGCCAGCTCCCCCAAGTGTGCTGTCTTGCGAACTTCAGGCAAGTGGGGATGCTGACACCCCTGAGGCCAAAATCTCCATCCTCCCAGGAGCCCTCAGGCTGCACATCACAGCCACGCCCACTTCCTCCAGCCTGGGAAACCTCTCATCTGTGTTCCCTTTAGTTTTGTCATTTTGAGCATGTTCTGTGGACAGGATCTTGCTATTTGCCACCTTTGGGACTAGCTTTTCTCAGCATTGTTCCCTGCAGGTCCATGCAGGGACCTTTGCCTTTTCATCCCAAGCAGTCTCTGACCTTTGCCTTTCAACCACAGGTGTCAGTAACGTCTGACGTAAAGGGTCTCAGTGCTCAAGGGACGCCTGACATCCCCCAGCCTCTGGCAGCAGGTGTCAGTAACGTCTGACATAAAGGGTCTCAGTGCTCAAGGGACAGCTGACACATCCCCCAGAGCAGCAGCAACACCCAGCCCCACACTCACCCGCACCAGGCTGGGCGCCACACTCGTGCATGGGGTCCTCACGTGCTTCAGGCACTTCTCGTGGGACATGAAATTGCAGACTGTGGGAATGAGAGCTGCATGAGCAGGCCTGTCCCACCCAATGCTGTCCCACCCAGGAAGTCAGAGGCCCCAGGGCAACCCCTGCCATCCCCACCATGCAGCACCAGGGGCCCTGTGGTCCTCAAGTTCCCCCTCATTGGGGAAAGCCTGCAGCCCAGAGTAGGGACCTGGGTGCCCCCTGACCATCCTAGAGGACAGTGAGCGTCCTCTCGTCCAGACAGCAGCCCCTGCCCTCTGGTGGGCCCGGCACTCCTCCTGCCTCTGCAGTTGGGCCTCTCAAGGGGCAGCCTGGGGCTCACCAGGCTCACCAAGCGGCAGGGGCTGCTCCGGCTTCTGCAGATCAGCTTTGCCAGGTACACCTGTCCCTCACTCCCCCGAAACTGCACATACCCCTAACTGTCCCTGCTGTGTGCTGTCATCATGCCTCAGACCTGGAGCCACCTGGGGCAGCTGAGGGCTCTGGAAAGGCAGCAGCCGCTGGGGAGTGGGCAGCCCCAAGACTCCCAAGGAGCTCTGGCTGTTTGCATGGGGCCCAGGGAGCACCTTAGCCAGCAGGGTGCTCAGGAGGGCATAAGAGTGGCAAGCGCCACACCCCAGCAGTGAGAGAGACGGGAGGGTGGGGCCGGGTCAGGAGGGGAGGCAGGAGCCCTGGGCTGGGGCAAAGGCTGCTGGGGGCTGGGAATGGGCAGGGTACCCAGCGACACACTTGCCAAGACAGCCCTGGGTGAAGGTTGTGCCATGGAGCCCCAGGCAGCCCAGCCGGGACAGGCCACTCTCCCAGAAGGCCCTGCTGGTGCTGCCACACTGCACCCCTCACCTGGCCACCCCAGTCTCCAGATGGGACCAAGAGAAGCTCCTCCTGGAGGCTTAGGAGAAAAGCTCTGGAAGCAAGCTGGGGTCCGCCAAGAGAAGGGGGGACAGGCAGCGCCAGGGTCCCCTCTGTCATGGAAACAGGGCCTGCTCACCCCACGCCCATGCTCGGTCTCCTGGAGGGGGAGGGCGCCCTTCTTCCCATATCCCTGCCAGCCCCTCTTCCACAGGTGCTGCCCAGGAGGGCCCTTGTGCCACCTCCCAAGGGGCAGGGGACCCAGAGTCTGGCCTCAGGCTGTGAGTTACCTCAACCACACATGCACACCCTCCACCTCGGGGGAAGCCCCTGGCGTCCCCAGGCAGCAGGCATGGCAGTACCATGCTCTGATGTGATAAAGAAGCCGGCGGGCCAGGCCACCTTGTGCAGGTCGGAACAACTGTGCTGTTTCCACCACAGGCCACATCCCTGAGTGAAGGGCCCAGTCTCCTCTGCAGCCCCTGGCCTGAGTGGTCCCCTATCCCCAGAGTAAAGGCCTGAATCGCTGAGCAGGGCAGAGGCTCCTTAGCCCCTCCCACTTCGGTGTCCCTGGCCAGGACACAGTAAGTGTCAAACATCCAGGACTCCGGTCCTGTCCTTGGCTCCCTTCAGAGGCTGGGCTGTGGTCCCCAAGCCTGCCTGCTTGCCGTGGGGGAAGAAGAGAGCCAGCCCTGGAAGCTCCCGGGCCCAGAGCAGGGAAGGGCCATCCTCACCCCAGCCAGGGCGGGGCAGCTGGGTGGAGCAAGGCGCCACCTGGCTCTCCAGGAGGCTGGGGCTCCGGGCCACAGCATGAGAAGGGTCAGGGCCAGAGGCCCAGAGCAGCCCTGCCTGACCACACCTGCTGCCCGAGCCGCTGGGAAAGAAAGCCGGCCCTGGGGACCCCGGGGGAGGTCGCGCTTGCATCAGGCACAGCCCCTGGGTCAAGGCCACAGCGCGGCACTATGGAGACACTGCCCGCACCTCCCAGGTGAGGAAGCCCCGAGACCCGGGCCCCACGGCGCACAGGCCCAGTTCGCCCCACGAAGGCAGGTCCCGCGGGCAGGGCTGGGACCTCGCCCCCCGCCCAGAAAGCGCCGGCGCCACCTCGGCTCAGGCTCCCGCCCACGGGGCAGGCGCAGGGGGCAGCCAGGTGGGCACCGGGGCCGGGATCCCGGGCGAGCGCGCGCGTCCGGCGCAGGCCGTGCCCGCGGGAAGGGGCACGGGCGCTCACCGTCGCACAGGAAGCCGGCCAGCCCCCAGATGAAGTCGGAGCAGAGGTGGCAGAAGGTGGGCTTGGTGAGCGTCACCTTCCGGAAGCTGTGTCCCGGCGCGGCGGCGGGGCCCGGGGCTCTGGCGCCCGCCCGCTCCGGCCCCGGCCCCGGCCCCGGCCCCGGCCCCAGGCGCGCGCGGCCTCCTGCGCCCAGCACAGGGCTGCAGGCCGGGCTGCCGGGGCGCGGGGAGCCGCCACCCAGCCAGGCGCGGGCCCCAGGCTCGGCCGCCGCCGCCATTGCCGGCCCGAGCGGCCCGAACCCCTTCGGGTCCGCGCTGAGGGGACCGGAGCCGCCGCTCCACCGCCCGCGCAGCGCAGCCCAGCCGGCCTTCCGACTGCGCCCGTCCCAGTGCGCAGGCGCGAGCCTCGGGGCGGGGCCGGGCGCTGCTGGTGGGCGGGGAGGGGGCGGGCCTTGCGGTGGGTGGGGCGGGGCCTGCTACTGGACGCGGCCTTGCCCCGTGGATGGGCGGAGCTGGGGGCGGGCCATGTGATCGGGCGGGGCGGGGCGGGGCCTGCGCGTGGGGGGGCCCTAGCAAACACGCCGCGGGGAACTGGTCCGCGTGGGCTCAGCCTGACCGCAGCCGGCTCAGACTTCACCTCACGCGGCCTCCGGACGCCGCACGCGCGGCGTTGCACCTGTGGCACCCCGGCCCGCGACTGCGCAGACAGAAGCCTCCCACGCGGGACGCCCCGGCGAGGGGCAGTGCAGCAGGCCTCCCAGGATGGGTCCCGGGAGGTGGGGTTTGCGGTGCGTGGACGGCTCCGTCTGTGGGGTCCTCGCACTTGCCGACTTGGCCGTGCCGGAGGCCCAGGACCCTCTGCCCCCGACCACTGTCCTCACTGCATCGGGGGACCCGCCTGCGGCCCGGGCTGTCCCCTCGCGATCCCCACCCGGGCCTCACGCCGAGCGCCCAAATTTCCTGCTCCGCACGCGCCCCAGGTCTTGTTCAGGTGGCACTGGTGGCCTTTGGGAGTCGTGTCCACGCAGGTCACCCCTCCCCGCCGCTGGCAGCACTCCGGGGTCCCTGCCCCGGTGAGCCTAACCGTGGATAGGAGTCTGCGCTGCCGGGTATTCCATTCCAACCACCGAGCAGGGAACCGCGAAGGGCGGGACTCCAGGGCCAGCTCGGCAGGCAGTCCGGGGGTTGCGGGGGAGGATGTTGGGGAGACACAGGAAAGGGACTGGGGGCTGTGGAGGGAAGGAGCGGGCAGAGCTGCCGTGGGGGCTCCACTGGTGGGGGCACCGAGGCCACAGGGGGATTCCAGGGGTGGAGGGTGAGCTGGGGACCCAGTCCAAGGAGGGAGGAGAGCAGGCCCCTGAAATGGTGGAGGGGAACTCTGTCCTCAACTCAGTCCTCAACCTGGGAGGATTCTGTTTGTCCAGAAGCTGTTGGTTAAGCTGCTGGGGCAGGGCTCTGGGTGGGCCCCCAGGTGAAGGGAACGTTAGCGAAAGCTTCAGGGACCCCGGCTCTCCAGGACCTGTGCTTGGGACAGACGCACACTGAAGAATGTGAGTGACCAGCAGGGGCAGCCTAGAGGCAGCGGGAAGACGTCCAGGCAGAGACCCAGAGCAGAGGCCCTGAGGCAGGTGCTCTCCCCAGCCGCCTGCTGACGCCTGCCTGTGCTGGGAGGCCCTGAGTCACCACCCCTGCGTGTCCTGTCTCCTCCTCCAGACCCCAACCCTGAGCCTGGCCTCAGCCAGGCCCCAAGACCCCTGTTCCTGGGCTCTGGGGGAGCTCGGACCCAGCCATGCTGCCCATGAGGAGGTGGGGGGTTCACTGAGCCCACTTCCCACGGGCCAACTGCAGCCGGCTTCTGAGGAAAAACTGTTTAAACGACATGCCTTTCACCATCAAGGAGACAGTGGACAGCGTCAAAAATGCCTGGAAAACCTTCATCTGACCATTTCTACCAGAATTTGGTGCTTTCTGACGCACACGTTAATTAAAATGGTGGGCAAACCATGCTTCTGTCAGACCTTCCACGGACTTCCTAGGGTGTCTTCTGAAGCCACCAGCGGCTTCTCGCTGGTGGGGCCTTAAAACTTTGAACTGCAGCCTGGATGTCAGCACCCGCCCCGATGGAGCTTGTCTGCGGCGGAAACAGCCCCCTCTGTGCAGGCCCCCCGTGTCCCCGACTGTCTCTCCCTCTCCCACTCCCTTTCCTGGCCGTCTTGGTCAGTCTGGGCTGCCGTGACAGGAGGCCACAGCCTGGAGGCTTAGACCACAGAAGCGCGTTTCTCGCAGCTCTGGAGGACGGGAAGTAGAGCACGTCAGGTTCTGGTGAAGGCCTCTCAACCCCTGCTCCCTGAGGAAACCAGCATGCTGAAGTCTCATCACACCTACAGATGAAACTGTCCCCCCAAATTCTATGTTGAAGTCCCAACCCCAGCACCTGTGACCTTGTTTGGAGACACAGTCTTCACAGAGTCAACCAAGCGAAGGTGTGGTCACGAGGACGGGCCTCACTCCAGCACAGCACGTCCTTGTGGACAGAGGATCTGGAGACACACGCTCGCAGGGAGAGGCCGCAGCAGGATGAAGGCGGAGGTCGGGCCAGGAACACGGAGCGCTTGGAGCTGGAGAGAGGTGGCGGGGACAGACTGGTCCTGCCCCCAGCCTCAGGAGGAGCCAGCCCTGAAACCAGATCTCGGGCTTCTTGGCGCTGAGCTCGTCGGCCAGTAGAGTAACCGCGGAAGCACAGTGAGCATTGATGCTGGGGTTTAAACACATTTAGCGAGCAGGCGTATTTGCAAATGCAGGATCTGTGAGCGAGGCAGCCGGCTGGTGCGTGTCACATGTGTCCAGACCCCCCACACGGTGGCTTTTGGTGGTCCTAGCTTTCCCGCCATCCCACTGACCTTTCCCTTCCGCAGGCGGTGTGTCTTGTTTAAGCACCTGCCTCCTCTGAGGTCTTAAAGAGGCTCCCCAGTTGGGAGGGGAGTCTTTTTACCTTTTACATTTACATCTGTGAGCCAGCAGGGACTGATTTGGGGGTGTCCTGTGAGGTGGGGTCCAGTTGCTTGTTGGGGACGCTGTCCCTACCGCTCTGGGCGCCTCCGCCACAAGGCAGGGGACCGAGTAAGCGCAGGCTGGAGCTTGCACAGGTTTCAGGCAGCCTGAAGTCGATGGGGATCTCTTTAAGAAGTGCAAAATAATTCTTATAAAATTAGATGGAGGCTGGACGAGGTGGCTCACACCTGTAATCTCAGCACTTCGGGAGACTGAGGTAGGCAGATTGCCTGAGGTCAGGAGTTTGAGACCAGCCTGGCCAACATGGCAAAACCCATCTCTACTAAAAATATAAAAATTAGCCGGGTGTCGTGGCACATGCCTATAATCCCAGCTACTCAGGAGGCTGAGACAGGAGAATCGCTTGGACCCAGGAGGGGAGGGCACAGTGAGCCAATATTGAGCCACTGCATTCCAGCCTGGGTGACAGAGCAAGACTGTGTCTCAAAAACAAATAAAATTAGAAGCATATTTATTCAGAATGAGAGAAGAAATCGTAACAAATTAAGCATTTCTAAAAAATGGACTAATAGCACAAGCAGCACAAGATCCAGAAAATGCCATGATTTTTTGTTGGTAATGGCCTGCTATGATACCCTTTTATCCACTTTTTTATTGTCTCTCCTTACGATTTTGCAATATCATTTCTCCCAAAGAGAAAAGAAGAAGAAGAAAGGTAATCCTCACGCCATCTAGCATGTGTGATTTTATTTTATTTTGAGACCGTGTCTCACACTGTCGCCCAGGCTGGAGTGCAATGGCGTGATCTCGGCTCACTGCATCCTCTACCTCCCAGGTTTGAGCAATTCTCCTGCCTCAGCCTCCTGAGCAGCTGGGATTACATGCTCCTGACACCGCGCCCAGCTAGTTCTTTTGTATTTTTAGTAGAGACAGGGGTTTCACCATGTTGGCCAAGCTGGTCTCGAACTCCTGACCTTGTGATCCGCCCTCCTTGGCCTCTCAAAGTGCTGGGATTACAGGTGTGAGCCACTGTGCCAGGCCTAGCGTGGCTGATTTTTTTAAAAGTGTGACTTGCTTTACAGAAGTGGGCTGATGACTGGTCACATCATCCACATGAAGCCCGTGGTGAAATTTGGAGGAAACTTGCTCAGGTTTCTCTCTTCTGTAGGCTGGTGGGTTTCGGAGCTGCTTTTTTTCCCCAGGTGATGATCCAAGGCGCCCTCAGGGATGACTGTGTCCATCAGGTTCCCGTGAGGCTGGTGTGAGGGTCCTGCACTCTCTCGTCGATGCTGGCATTTCCTGTTAGATCAGCAAGGTCTTTCCTCCTCTTGCAGAAGTCCCTGTGAGTCACTCCTCTTGGTTGTTGCTGGAAGCTCTACCCCAGGACGTCCGGGAAGGGCATGGCAGACGCTGCTGACCCTGCTGATGTCTCCACAGCTAAACATCCCCATGCCAGGCCCCAGCGTGCTCACTGCCTCTGCAGGGCCAGCCCAGCAAGAGGGGAAGCTGGAGACAGGGGGGAACCCCTTGTGGTTAAGGAGCCTTCACTTAGTAAATTTGACAAAACTGTGTGCTGCCCTTGGAAAGGGCTCTGCCATTTTCCCTTGACTCCATCCCACGGTGTGGACCTGCTGTGCGGGTGCATGGCGTGGCCTGGGCTGGCACAAGCCCTCTACAGGTCCACATGTTGGCAGTACCAGGCTCCCTCCCCAGGCAAAGCCACTGGCCCCTTCTCACTTCCAGGGTTGATTTCTGGAAGCCACACACCTTTGTTCTAAAATATGTACCTGGGTTTGCTTTTAATCAGGCGCGGTAGGGTGGCAGATGTGGAGACAACTTTGCAGGCAGATGTGCCTGCAAAGAAGACATATGCCATTTCCCAAGAGAAGGGGGCACAGCGCACAGGGCCACGGGGTGGTGGGGAGCCCCAGTTCTTGGGGCCTCTGCAAGAAGGGCAGACGCGGCAGGGTGGGCACTGCAGGGTGAGATCAGGACAGGGTTGGAGATGGAGTGACTTCCCTGGGCCCTGGACTCAGCAGCCCTGGTCGGCTGGTACCTTGCCCTGGGGTGACTAAGGGCAGGGACATTGGCTTGCTGTGAGTGTGACAAGGAAGTTGGGCTCTGGGAGGGGTAGTCTCTCCAGGATCAAGACCCCCAAGGCCAGTGCATTAAGAATACGCAAAACAGGCCAGCCACGGTGGCTCATGGCTGTAATCCCAGCACTTTGGGAGGCAGAGCAGGACGGATCACATGAGGTCAGGAGTTCAAGACCAGTCTGGCCAACATGGTGAACCCCCATCTCTACTAAAATACAAAAATTAGCCAGGCATGGTGGCAGGTGCCTGTAATCCCAGCTACTCGAGAGGCTGAGGCAGGAGAATCGCTTGAACCCGGGAGACAGAGGTTGCAATGAGCTGATATTGCGCCATTGCACTCCAGCCTGAGTGACAGAGCCAGACTCTCAAAAAAAAAAAAGAAAAAAAAATGCAGTTAATACAGTCAAGATGGACAAGAAGTAAAGGAAAAAAAGTCTACCCACCTAGAGATATAAGCCCGATTTTTAAGACAAAAACCAAGATTTCGTTTAAAGGGGAAAAAGAGAGAAGGAGGGATTACGCAGCGGACAGGGGCTATCCTGGGGGCTTCCCTCCCCTCCTTCCCTCTTATCAGCCAGAGACAGCAACTAAAAACCCGGGCTTAGGGCAGATGGGAGCCGAAACAGAAGAAGGGATGGGGGTGGGGAGAAAGGAAGCAAACCGTAACTACTCAGGCACAAGCAGAGAAAATAAAGGCCCAATTTTGCCTGTTATTTTCCCAAGAAAAAAGAACGGGTGCCTCACGGTGGGTTTTCATAACCTCGAGGCTGCAGCCGCCCCTCAGGCCCCACACCCAGCACCCGGCAGGGTCCCCACCACTGACTCCCCAGCTCAGGAACTGGCCAGAGTGTCTCTCGCAGAGGACGCAGCCTCCACTCCGCCTGCCCGTGCCTGCCTGTTTCAGCCACAGTTCACCGCCACCTCCAAGGATACAGCCCCGTTTCCAGGCTGTGCCGGGACCTCCGAAGCCCAGCCCTTCTTCCACGGTGCGGGCGCACATCCGTGGAGGGTGCCCTCCTGCTGACACGCACCGCAGTATCTTTTAATTCTTTTTGGGTTCTGGTGGCAACACATTCCTCTTTCCAAATTTTACATCCAAATAAAAACAGCCAGGCACAGTGGCTCACACCTGTAATCCCAGCACTTTGGGAGGCTGAGGTGGGAGGGTCACTTGAACACAGGAGTTCGAAAGCAGCCTGGGCAACGCAGAGGGACCCTGCCCACAAACAATAAATAAATAAATAAATAGCCAGGCATATGCATGCCTGCCGTCCCAGCTACTCAGGAGGCCGAGGTGGGGGCTTACGTGAGCCTGGGAGGTCAAGGCTGCAGCGAGCTGTGATCGCGCCACTACATCCAGCCTGGGGGATAGAGCAAGACCCTGGCTAAAAGCAAAACAAAACATTAAGATCTTCAGGCACTCTTGCTAGTGCCCTCAGAGACTCTGCTCTAGAGGCGCTGGCAGCCTCTTCTCAGGCGGCCGGCATCTCTCAGCCTCTCCTCACAGCCATAAGCTGCCCAGTGGCTTCTGATGTAGGAACCTGCTCCTCCTGGCCCTGTGCCATCCACTCTTAAACCCACAAGTGACTGGCTGCCACCAGTTCTCCTGGGACAGAGACTGTCAGAGACCCTGAGCCTCTGACCCCATCCGCAGCCGCCAGTATGTGCTAGCTCACAGGACCAGCACCCCACACACTCAGCTCTGCCGGCGAGGCCTCTCTCAGCAGGATAGACCAGCGGCCTCTTCCCATGGTTATCATAAGCCATTGTGCCATTACCCGAAAGGCGTTGCCTGCAGGGTAGAGACCTGTGTGAATCTCTCACCTCACAGAGCCCCAAAATCTGTATCAGGATTGCACATGCACACGGCAAGGCCTTCCTCCTGGCCTGTCAGGGCCGGGATGTGTGTTTCCCCACACCTCATTGAAACAAACCCAGGGCACATTTTAGGGCAATCTTCCAATGTCCCCTGAGGTCACTACAGCCTCTTCTGTGTCAAATCCCCTCCACTTCCCCTTCTAGGAACACTGGGATTACGAGTAGCTGGGATTACAGGGGTTACACTCAGGGCCCACCGGATAACAAGGATCACCTCTGCATCTTGGATGCTTCCCTAATACACCTGCAGGCGCTTGCCATGTGAGGTGACAGGCACAAGCCTGGCCAGGACCGAGGGCGTCTGCGGGCGGCTCTCCTTCCCTCTCGCTCTGCTGTCCCTCACGACACCTGAGCTGCTGGTGCTGTGAACAGGTGAAACCCTGTAACGTGATTGTTTTATGTGGTTATGATTCATTAGGTTTATGTACAATGTACCCTTTCTGCTGCTTTTGTTGGGGCTCAGAAAATCACACCCCAGAGTGAAGGCCTTGGAATCCAGGCCTGCTCCTGCCCCATCTCTGGCTCCTGATTCTCCCAGATGGGTCATAGAAACCTGAACCCCTTTTCCCCAAAGCCAACCATGAACCTAAAACTATGACTAACTTTTCCTCCGTCTGCATAAAAACTGGCTGTGAAGAAATTCTCTGGCCTGCCTTGTTTATAGGTGGTCAGACCCTTATTCCAGGGCGTTGTGCCCCCACCCAGCAGGAAGGAGAGCTGCAGAGAGAGGCCACCAGGTGGGCCTCACTGGGCTCCTGCGGTCTGTTACCCTGTTAGTCTGTCAGGCCTTACCCTTTCGTTCAATCCTATTTCAAGAATCACAGAATCTAAGTATAAAAATGCATTTTCCATCCGGGTACAGTGGCTCCCGCCTATAGTCCCAGCACTTTGGGAGACTGAGGCAGGTGGATCATGAGGTGAGGAGTTAAAGACCAGCCTGGCCAACGTAGTAAAACCCCACCATTGCACTCCAGTCTGGAGTATTTTTAGTAGAAACGGTTTCACCATGTTGGCCAGACTGGTCTCGAACTCCTGACCTCAGGCAATCCACCCACTTCGGCCTCTGAAAGTGCTGGGATTACGGGTGAGCCACCGCGCCCAGCCGAAGAACACCGTTTAATATTTTGCTTTCTTTTCTTACTATATCGCCCAGGCTAGAGTGCAATGACATGATCTTGGCTCACTGCAGCCTCTGCCTTCCAGGTTCAAGAAATTCCCCTGGCTCAGCCTCTCGAGTAGCTGGGATTACAGGTGCCCGCCACCACTTCTGGCTAATTTTTGTAATTTTAGTAGAGACAGCATTTCACCATGTTGACCAGGATGGTCCCAAACTCCTGACCTCAGGTAATCCACCTGCCTCAGCCTCCCAAAGGGCTGGGATCATAGGTGTGAGCCACCGCACCAGCCCTAAATTTTTTTTTTCTTGTTTTTTTCTGAGACAGTCTCCCTCTTGTTGCCCAGGCTGGAGTGCAATGGCGCAATCTCGGCTCACCGCAAACTCCACCTCTGAGGTTCAAGTGATTCTCCTGCCTCAGTGTTCCGAGTAGCTGGGATGTCAGGTGCGCGCCACCACGCCCAGCTAATTTTTTGTATTTTTAGTAGAGACAGGTTTCACTATGTTGGTCAGGCTAGTCTCAAACTCCTGACCTCAGGTGATCCACCTGCCTCGGACTCCCAAAGTGCTGGGATCACAGGCATGAGCCACCACGCCTGGCCGCAGTATTTTCTTAAGTGAAGGTTAAGGTGACAAATATTCTCACATTTCGTTTTTCTAAAATGTCTTCATTCAACTTTCATTTTTGGGATATATCTGTTGCCAGATTTAGAGTTTCAGGTTACCAGCCACTTGCTTCTGAGGTGTTTTCGCTGCCCGTGTTTCTGTTGCTGCTGTTGAAAGGCCCCTTCGCTGTGCACCCTGAAGACACCAGGGCTCTCCTCCCTCCCTGGGGCTCCTTTTAACATTTCCCCTTTGCCTTTGGTCTCAGCTGTCTCACGATGATGTTGCTTATGTTTTGCTTTCCCTGTGTTTTTCCTAGTGGACTTCACGGCACTGTTTGACTCTGTGGCTTGACGTCTTTCATCACATTTAGAAAACTATCAGCCACCACCCCATCGCCCTCTCATTTCTGGCTGGGAATCCAATGACACTGTTAGACCTTCTTACCATGTCTGTTCTGGACTGTCCGTTGTTTTTCTCTCCATTCTTCAGGATGAATCTTTTTTTTTTTTTACAACCTGTCTTCCGTTTATTTAATTCTCTTTAGGTGGATTTTTTTTTTTTTTTTTTTCAGACAGGGTCTCACTCTGTCACCCAGGTTGGAATGCAATGGTGTGAGCTCTGCTCACTGCAACCTCCACCTTCTGGATTCAACCAATTCTCCTGCCTCAGCCTCCTGAGTAGCTGGGACTATAGGCACCCGCTACCATGCCTGGCTAATTTTTGTATTTTTGGTAGAGACAGGGTTTCACCATGTTGGCTAGGCCAGTCTTGAACTCCTGACCTCAGGTGATCACCCATCTTAACTCCCCAAAGTGCTGGGATTACAGGCCTGAGCCCCCTCTCCCAGCCTAGCCGGATTTAACATGTGTTAAACCAATCTGTTACCAGCTTTATTGAGATATGATTTATATACAATAAAATGGGCCAGTGGAAGTGGCTCACGCCTGTAATCCCGGCACTCTGGAAGCCCAAGGCAGGCAGATCATGAAGTCAAGAGATTGAGACCATCCTGGCCAACATGGTGAAACCCCATCTCTGCTAAAAACAGAAAAATTAGCTGGGTGTGGTGGTGCGTGCCTGTAATCCCAGCTACTCGGGAGGCTGAGGCAGGAGAATTGCTTGAACCCGGGAGGCAGAGGTGTAGTGAGCCAAGATCGTGCCACTGCCCTCCAGCCTGTGTGACAGAGGGAGACACACTCTCTCTCTCTCTCTCTCTCTCTCTCTCTATATATATATATATATACATATACACATATATATACACACACATATATATACACATACATATACACACATATATATACATATATACACACACATATATATACACATACATATACACACACATATATACATATATACACACATATGTATGTATATATGTATGTGTTTATATGTAAATATATGTATTTATATGTATGTATGTGTTTATATGTATATATATGTATTATTTATATGTATATACATATATGTGTATTTATATGTATATATGTATTTATATGTATATATAAAATGAAGCAAGATCAAGTGTATCATTCGATACATTTTGAGTAAGTTTCGTGAGATTTTAATCCTTTTTTCAGTGTTCTCCTTTTGAAACATTTCAAACTCACAGAAAAGTCGTGATACCAGTGCGTAGTTTCCACCCAGGTCCCCCGATGGTTAACATTTGCGCCTTTGCTCTAATGTCAGCGTCTCTGTCTGTAATCTAAATGATTGGTTTTGCCTTAATTTCCAGAGCCATTCTGGGTACAGACCTAATGACTCTTCACCTGTAAACACCTCAGCACGGATCGCAGATGAACAAAAACATCTCCGTTCACAGCTGCGATGCGGTGGAGTCCTTTAACCATGCTGGGGCTTATCATCGACAGAACGTTATTACACAGTATACAAGACATATTTCCAATTGCGAATGTCCCCATCGTGCACGTTGTAACCCTTTCGTCCTGAGCCAGGATCCATTCCAGCTCTGTGCACTGAGGATTTCTGTCTGTTTCCGTCTTGTTCTACCTCCCGGCAGGTGTCCAGGTGAGCGGCTCACCTTAATTCTCTCAGGGCTTGAGGTGATTTAAGGAGGGCTTTGGTCCCTGCAAAGACAATTCTGTTTTTGGTTCACCTTTGCCTTTAGGGGGTAGCCCTTTGGGGTCCCATGGAAAGCCCAAAGTCTCTACCAGGCCTCCCTGCCTGAGCCTCGACTTCGGTCCTGTGGCCCCAGTGTGCGGAGCGCGGCAGCGTCTCCCCAGGTCCTGTGTGGCTGTGACACGCTGCAGGGTGTGCAGTGCTGGCCCCGCAGCTCCCATCTGGGCCCTGCAGAGCCTCTCGGCCCCGCAGCTCCAGTGCCCCCGACGGTTCTGTGCGGCGCTCCCCGGCTCTGATGGCTGCTCTCAGGGGGTGGCTGCTCTGAAACAATTCAGCCTCCTGCGTCCTGCGCTAGTGTGGGTGGGGGTTTCATAAGTGTGTTTTCAGTCCTCTGACCTTTGAGGAGTTGTTTTCAAAGCAGTTTATCTACCATCTTCGTTGTTTTCGCTGGGGTGTTGGGCTGAGCATCTTACCCGCTGTTCCTGGAGACCGTTCTGTGCTGGCAAGTTTTTCTCGCCTTTTCCTCCCTTTCTTACCTTTCAGTTTTTCACTGAATTTTGTCCGTGTGTGTGTGTATGTGTGTGTGTGTGTGTGTGTGTGTGTGTGAGACGTTTTTCCTCCCTGCTAATTTGGAATATATACACACCATTTCTCTTTCAAATGGCTAATCATGACGTTCCACCTTGCAATTTTAACATCAGAAGAACTAGTGTTAAGCAAATACTTTAATCCCTCTCCCCAAAATGAAAAGATGCAGAACACCGTCGCTCTAATAATCCGCCTCCCAACTTACAGGGGATTATTGTCCAGTATTTTCGTTTTGTTAGTAGACTGTTCTTTTTCTTTTCTTTTCTGTTTTAGAGATGGGGGTCTCCATTTGTCAAGCAGGCTGGAGTGCAGTGGTCTGATCACAGCTCGTCTCAGCCTTGAACTCCCAGGCTCAAGCAATCTCCCACCTCAATTTTGAGTAGCTGGGACTCACAGGCATATGATATCGCATCTGGCTAATTTAAAAAATATATATCTTTTTTGTACAGATGGGGTCTTGGTATGTTGCCCAGGCTGATCTGAAACTCTGGGCCTCAAATGACCCTCCAGTGTTGGCCTGCAGTCCCGAAGTGCTGGGATTGCAGGTGTGAGCCACTGCGCCCAGCCTGTTCTTTCCATGGTTATTATTTTCATACCATGTTTGCTTGGATTCACACATGCGGGCCGGACTACAGTTGTCCTGTGGTATCCTCAGAGTATTGGTTCCAGGACCCTCAGAGATACCAAAATTTGCAGGTGCCCAAGTACCTGATATAAAATGGTGTAGTATTTGCACATGACCTATGCACATCCTACTGTGTACTTTCAACCAAGATTACTTATAATCCCTAAAACAATGTAAATGCTCTGTAAAGAGCTGTTATACTGTATTATTTTAAAATTTGTATTTTTTTTTTTTTTGAGACGGAGTCTCGCCGTTGTTACCCAGGCTGGAGTGCAATGGCGCGATCTCGGCTCGCCGCAACCTCCGCCTCCTGGGTTCAGGCAATTCTCCTGCCTCAGCCTCCTGAGTAGCTGGGATTACAGGCACGCGCCACCATGCCCAGCTAATTTTTGTATTTTTAGTAGAGACGGGGTTTCACCATGTTGACCAGGATAGTCTCGATCTCTCGACCTCGTGATCCACCCGCCTCGGCCTCCCAAAGTGCTGGGATTACAGGCTTGAGCCACCGCGCCCGGCCTAAAATTTGTATTTTTTATATTGCTTTGGCTTAAAAAAAATATTTTTAGTCTGCTTGGTTGAATCCACGGATGTGAAGCCAAGCGTAAGGAGGGCCCAGGGTGCTCTTCTGCGATGATTCTCCTGCTTGCTAAAGCGCACGCTGTGCTCGGGAGGCTGGGGCGGGAGGATCGCTGGAGCCCTGGAGGTGGAGGTTGCAGTGAGCTGAGATGGCGCCACTGCACTCCAGCCTGGGCGACAGAGCAAGAGTCTGTCTCAAAAAACAAAAACAGAGCAAAACAAGACAATAATGGCTCAACTCATATAGCACCGACGTGCCAAGCCTCCTTCTGAGCATCTTGCTCAGAGCGACCGCTGAGGCCTGCCAGGAAGCGGGGCTCCAACCCTCCCGGAGCTGCCGGGCTCCCCGGCCCCGCCCACCCGGCGCTCTCCCCGCCCACCCGGCGCTCTCCCCGCCCACCCCGCGCTCGCCCCGCCCACCCCGCGCTCTCCCCACCCGCCCCGCGCTCGCCCCGCCCACTAAGGCCCGGCTCCTTCCCGCCTAGCGGCGGCAGTCACGTGGGGGGTGCGCCCAGACTCCGACCCGGAGGTGGAACCGGCGCTGCGGCCCGAAGCTCCGCAGTCCCCGAGCGCGCCCGGCCATGCGCCCCCCGCTACCCCGCGCTGCGCTGCTCGCGCTCCTGGCCGCGCTCCTGGCCGCGCCCCCGGTGGCCCCGGCCGAGGCCCCGCACCTGGTACGGGTGGACGCGACCCGCGCGCTGTGGCCCCTGCGGCGCTTCTGGAGGAGCACCGGCTTCTGGTGAGCGCCCCGCGCGCCCGCCCGCGGCCTCCGGGACCCCATGGCCGCCCAGGGAGAGCTCGGGCGCCCCCTGACTGAGCACTGTGGGAGCTTCCGAGACTGGAGCTCCCTCCTCTGGAGCCCTGGCTCTCCTGGCCCGCTCCCCGCCTTGTTTGGGGGTGGGCTCTCCAGCTGAGTGGGCGCCGGCCCGCCGGCCTGGGGCTGGACCCGGAGCTTGCCCAGCAGCCGCTCCCTGTAACCCAGGCCGATGCTCGGGATCCTGCTCTTTGAGGTGGTCCAGGAGTCTCCCCATGGGGTGGGACAACCCAGCAGCGGGACCTGGCCCGCTTGTCCCTTTCCCTCCACGGAGACTCGAGGTGCCTGCCTGCCTGGCAGGGCCGGGGCCAGGGCTGGTTTTGGCTCCCCCGCCTTAGTGCTGCTCCCGTTCTCCACGAATATGGGACCTCCCTACATTCCTGGCCCTAAGGGCCATTTTATTAGTCACTGAGCATGCGCGCAGCGCCTGGATCTGGCGCCCAGGCAGTCCTGGGCTTGAGCCTGAGTGTCGGCTGCGCTGCCAGCCATGCTGAGGCTCAGGCCTGAGCCGCCCCTTTGCTGTCCCCAGCCCTCCGCTGCCACACAGCCAGGCTGACCAGTACGTCCTCGGCTGGGACCAGCAACTCAACCTCGCTTATGTGGGCGCCGTCCCTCACCGTGGCATCGAGCAGGTCCGGACCCACTGGCTGCTGGAACTTGTCACCACCAGGTGGGTGACGCAGGGTCTGGTGTCCCAGAGCCCCTTACGGAGACACAGAGGGGACGAGCTGGGGAAAGGACAACTGAGGAGGCGCCGGGCTGGGGGCTGCTCGGAAGACCCTTTGTTCCCCCTCTTTCTGCTGATGCACCCTGTTGAAGGGATTGTGTCCTTGCTGGGGTGAGGGCTGTGTGCTGGAGGGTGCCCCTGTGTGGGGGCACGGTGGGCTTCCTCCAGGTCCCCCTGGAGGCTCAGGGTTAGCTGTGCCGCACCTGTCTCCGATGCACCCATGGGCACCTCTGTGTGTGTTTGCTGGCTGGGTTGGGCAGGCCACCACACCTGAGAGCTGAGCTGAGGTCATCACAGCACCTGAGGCCTTGACGCTGGTGCAGGTGGCCACCCAGTGAGGGGGAGACACGAGGTGAGAGGGCCTTCTAGAAACACAGAGACCCTCATGCACTTGGCCAGAACCACCGGCTCCTACCAGCAGGGTGGGCACCAGGCAGGGCTGGACATAGGAGGTCCTTTTGGCACTTGGAGGCTGCATGATGTTGCAGGGGAGATGGCCCTTGTTCAATTAATATGTCAACCCTGAGCATCAGGCCAGGCCCAGCCCTTCTGAGCCAAGGGACAGCAGGGGCCTTGAGCATCGGGCCTGGCCAGCCTGTCTCTGAAGGGGTGGAGGTTCCTGATTTCTGAGTGTTTCGGTCCTGCATGATCAGAGGCCCTCCTTACCCAGCTGGGGTTCCCTGGTTTCCCCAGGGTGGCGGTGGTGCAGGAGGGTGTCCCTTGGGTGTCTCGTCCCTGGGAAGAGTCTCAGCAGTGGCTTGCTGAGTCTGCCATGGGGCTCCTGGAGGGAGCAGAGGCTGCCGGGAAGGCCTGGCCCTGCTACAGGCAGGCATCGGTGGCCTCCAGCTCCCTGTGGCGGGCTCCTGCTGTCTGCACAGCGTCGTGCACACTGAGGAACAGCTGCTCCTCCTCAGCTGTGTCCTCTAGGCCCTCCCCAAGGAAGCCCCCTCTGCTCAGAATGTCTCTCACAGGGGGGCTGCAGCAGGCCAGCAGCAGGCTGATGCCCAGGGCCCCGTAGTCTCGGCGCAGGTCCCTGAGTGTGGTCACGCCAGCTGCGTCCAGGAACAGCAGTGGGGCACAGTCGATGACCACCGTGTGGAAGCCGGCCGCCACGGGCACCAGCGCAGCCCTGCTGCTAACTGGGCCCAGGTCCTTGCCCTGGGCAGGGCCTCCCTCGCCGACCCCCACCTCCGAGCCCTGCTCCTTCCTCCTGGCAGCCATGCGCCCCGCGTCCAGCCCCGTGAGGCTGTAGAGTGACCTCAGGAAGAAGTCCTTGTTGGCGTAGTACAGTGGCCCCGCGAAGCGGAACACCCGTACCCCGGGCTCAGGGACGAGGCCCTCGAACTCTGTGGCGTCCTCGTAGAAGGCTGAGTCCCCGATGCGGGCCAGAAGGGCGGCGTGTGGGCGCTGGGTGCGGCCGGCCAGGCTGAGCAGCGAGAGGATGATGCCGGCCAGCAGCCCGGTCTCCGTGCTGACCAGCACACAGGTGGCCGCAGTGCCCGCCCAGACCAGCGCATCAGCCGGGCTCATCCGCCACAGCCGTGGGAGGTCCCACACCTTGCGCAGGGCCCCCCGCAGGCTGACCACGATGACGCAGGCCAGCACGCTTCGCTGTAGGTCGTGGAACAGCGGTGCCAGTGCCAGCAGCACCAGCAGCACCACGGCAGAGCTGACCACGCTGGACAGCTGCGTCCGGCAGCCAGTGGCTGTCTTCACCAGGCTCTTGGCCAGGGCTGCGCTGGTGGCGAAGCAGTGGAGGAAGGCGGGCAGCACGTTGCAGCAGCCCACAGCCAGCAGCTCCTGGTTGGCACGCACGGAGTAGCCGTGGCTGCGACCGAACATCTCCGCCAGTGAGATGGAGAAGGCCGCGCCCACAAGGGCCAGGGCCACTGCATCCAAGGCCACACGCTGCATCAATCTGGGCTCTGGGACCTGAGGGGCCATGAAACCAGTGGGTATGTCACCAGCCACACTGGAGCCAAAGTGCTTGTGGAGCTGCCCGAAGTGGGACACAAGCGTGGCCACCACGATGACCAGCAGTTCTGTGGGCAGTGGCACCCTCAGGTGCCGTCGGTAGCGGTCTGAGAGCTCCTTTGCGGCCAGCAGCACCGCCAGGCACACGGCGCTGGTGACCACGTCGCACACATTGGCCTGCCCGGCGCTGAGCAGCAGGCTCAGCCATGTGCGGACCACCATGCCCAGCCCCTGGTGTCGAGGGATCCGCACGCCCAGCAGGTGTTTGAGCTGCGAGGTCAGGATGGTCACTGAGGCCCCCATGGCAAAGCCATCCAGCAGTGGCTGTGAGAGGTAGGCGGACACGAAGCCCAGCCGGAGCACGCCCATGAGGACCTGTGGACGGAGGGCAGTCAGGTCAGCAGGCATGCGGCAGGAGCCACCTGTCCATCACCAGTCCTGGCATGGCCCATGGGTGGTGGTCATGGCACAGAGCCTGACAATTCTGTTTTGCAGCCCGGTATTTCCAAATCAGACTCCTCACACGGACCTGTGTTCTTGACTCCATGTGTGCACATGCCTGCAGACACTTGTGGTGATCGCAGACACATCTAACTGCTCACGTGTAGAAGCCCGTTTTATTTCAGAAATAAGACCTCTGGGCATCAGAAGGCAGCCCTTTCCTCCTCCTTCATACACATGGCACCCACCACCCCACATGCAGATGTGGAACCAATGGGGACCAAGGCCAGGACAGGAGATGGTTGGGGGTGGGGAGGCCATCCCCCATCCCACCTAGAACGGAAGGCCTGGGAGGCCACATGGCCTCAGTCCATTACCACTGAGCCTAGCCACCCCTGGCCCGCTGGTACCCACTGAGGCCACAGCCCACCAGGCCAGCTCCTCGTGCCCCTCTTCTCTGGTTCCCGCAGCCCCTCCATGTCAGTGCCTCACCCTGGGATGCCCCAGCTCTGCCCGAGCCTTGGCCTTGTGGGTGGCCAGCACCTAAGGGGGTGCCCTGGGCCCCTCCCTGTGCCTAAGCTGAGCTCCTCACCTGGTAAAGCCCGGTCATTAGTGTGAGGGCGGTGGCAACACGGATGGCGTAGCAGTCGCGCCCACAGTCTGGCGTGGCAGCAGAGCCATTGAGGATGCTGCTGTTGGCCCTGGGCCACAGGCCGTCCTGGGAGGGGTCGAAGCCAGCCAGCTGGAGCTCCCGGTCCACCACCTGGCCCACCATGAGGCAGAGCAGACTGAAGATGCCCACAGAGACATGCCTCGACGTGCCCATGAGGAAGTAGATGAGGTTGGCAAAGAAGGATGTGTACAGGCTGTAGATGGGCTGCAGTCCAGCCAGCAGTGAGTAGGCGATGGCCTGTGGCACCAGGATGATGCCAATGACCAGCCCGGACATGATGTCGCCCGCCAGGTACTCCCGAGGGCGGTACTGACACAGCCAGCGCGTGGCAGGGAGCAGGTCCTGCACCAGTGCCCAGGCACACGGCACGCTGCACGAGCAGCTCCGCAACAGCCGGGCCTTCAGCATCTCACGCAAACCTTGGGGTGCCGGGCGCTGCCGTCGGACTGGCACCAGCCCTCTGCCCTGCTGCAGAAGCTCAGGGGACTCGCCCATGCTGCAGCACCTGCCCCTGTGGCTGACCTGCAGCTGAGAAGAGAGCATAGTCACGGGAGTTCCGGATCCAGGGCCAAACGACAAGGTCCCAGGCAGTGGCAGGCCCCTTGGGGCAGACCCCTCGCCCACCCGGGGCCCGGGACTGGAACTGAGCCTTCTCAGGCCCCAGCCCCCTGCCCAGAGTGGATGGATGCCAGACCCTGCTGGCTCCAGAATGCATCATGGGGTGAGATGGGATTAGGACACCAAGCCCGTGCCCTGGGCTGTGCTGAGGCCAGTGGTGCTGAGGGACGGCCTAGCCGGACCCTGTCCCGGTCAGCTCAAGCCCACTGGCTCTGCAGTTCCTGTCTGAAACCGCCCCTGAAGCCTCCTGAAGCTCACCTCCCAATGGGAAGGGAACAGGCTGGGCTGCCACCACACATACACATGCCTTGGGTCACTGGACACTGGTGTAGGCAAGCCGAAGTCTGGTGGCTCCGTGACCACCTTCCTGGCTCCCAGGTTGGTGAAGGATCCCGATGCCCACACCAGAGCTCTCCCTCTGTCATCCAAACCGTCACCTGCGCTATGGGTCCTGAGCTGGTGAAGGCTCAGTGGAAGAGGCCTCATATGTCCCTGTCAAGACTTGTGGGTGCTGGGACCCCAAGTCTGCCTGGGGAGCAGCACTCAGAAGCCAGCCTAGTCCCTACGCCTGGCCTTGGGGCAGAATTCTGAGAATATGCCTAGACAGTGGCCCCAGCTGGACTGGCGTCCATCTCCCCTGTCCAGGGAGTTCTGGGATGTGAGGCATCTCCCTGTCTCCCCAACTCGCTGTGGAACGGGCATGACGCATTGTCCCGGGGGCAGCACCCAGAGAGGACCCAGCCCTCTGCACACAGCCACCCTGGGCCAGCAGAGCCAAAGGGCACCTCCTGACCTTTCCTTTGCCTTCAGAGAGCAACATGGCATTAGGGAGGCAGTGCTTAGAGGCCACACTAGTCCCATGTGAGGCCTTCAGTCTGTCCCGTTTGCAGGCTCCAGTGTACTTTCATTTTAAAAGTCCTCCGCAACATCAGGCAAAGAACTTTGCTCCCTGAGTGCCCAGGACAGCCTGGGGCCTGGGCTGAGCCTGCTGTTTGCTCGCTGGCCCAGGGCATGGGGGCTGTAGTCTCCCGGGGGGGGTGGGCCCAGTCTGGTAGGTCGACACGGGCAGGCTGGACGCAGCACCACCCCTGGGGCTCAGAGTGGGGGTCCTGGCCCTCAGGCAACATTGCGAGAGTTGTGTCCCCTTCCCTCGAAGACCCCACTACACTGGGTCCCTGGATGCCCCAAGTGTGTGGAATGGAGACAGAAGGGCCAGCTGCCCGGACCCTGAGGGTGCTCCTAAGAAACCACCAGTCCAGGGCATTTCTGGCCTTGGCTCCCACGCCCCACTCTGCTGCGGCTGAGATCTGGGCCCAGGATAATTCTTACCTGAGGGAGTCCTCACAGGCACGGGAGCCCTGGGATGGCAAGGGGCTGGGGAGACCACCAAGGACCGCAGGGCCCTCTAGCTCCCATGAGCAGCTGGGAGAGTGGGGGTGGTGGCTCTGGCGCCGACCTGCAGGCCGTGTTGTGTGCGCCGGGCTCTGCCGATAAATTATTTACCTACAGATTGCTGAGTCACGGGTTTCGCCAGCATGTTACCTGATCAGCTAACCTGGGAGTTGAACTGTAATCAGGCTGGTAGTGGTTAGAGCTGTGTGGGACTCTGATCAGCTTCCAGCCTCCCAGTAGCCCTCGAATCCACGAGGGGCTGGGGCGGCGGTCTCCATGTCCAGTCGCTGGATAGCCTCCTGGTCCTGCAAAGGAGCCAGCCTGGTCCACGCAGGAGCAGGGCGGAGGCTGACGGCCAGCCCAGCAGAAGGCTGCCAGTGTATGCATGTGCATGTGCCCCAGGAGCTCTGTGTGTGGTGCACAGCACCCAGGGTGAGGGCCCCCAGGCATCAAGATGCCATGACTGCCCAGACCCGGTGCCAACCCGAAGGGCCTGGTCAGCCTCTTTCTTCACGGCTCCAATGCTCTCCCCTCTACCACAGGCTGAGACCAGCAGTGCCTGCCTCACAGGGCTGGTGTGAGGATAAATGATCTCTTAAAGTGAACGGAACTAGTGCCCACACATGAAAATAAGGGTGACCTGCTTTTTAAAAGGAATTATTGGCCAGGCACAGTGGTTCACTCCTGTAATACCAACACTCTGGGAGGCCTAGACAGGAGCATCACTTAAGGCCAGGAGTTCAAGACCAGCCTGGTCAATATAGTGAGACCCACCCCACCAACCTTTACAAAAATTAAAATTAAAAACTTAGCTGGGTGTGGTGGTGTGCACCTGTATCCCAACTGCTGGATTGGCTGAGGCGGGAGCATGCCCTGAGCCTGGGAGTTTGAGGCTGCCATGTGGTGTGATTGTGCCACTGTTCCCTATTCTGGGCCACAGAACAAGAGCCTGTCTCAGAAACAAACACGTTATCACTGGGCCAGCTCTTTGGGAAGCTAAGGGAGGAGGATGGCATCCAGGCTGCAGTGAGGTGCCATTGTGCCACTGCACTCCAGCCTGGGTGACAGAGCAAGGTTCTGTCGCTTAAACAAAAATTCCTCAGGAGCCTCAGATCCCTCCCCTACTTTGACAATGAGTACTGGCTGGGATCCTGCGTTGGAGCCTGTGGCCGGTGGGCGTGTTTCACAAGGGGCTGCAGCCTCCGTGCTTTCCCAGGAGGCCGCGGTGAGTCCCTCGGGTGAGGCTGGAAGGCCAGGCCGGCCCTGGCACCTTGGGCAGCCTGACTCGGGCCTGGGAACAGAAGCCACAAGCTGTTTCCCTGTCCAGGTAGGATTCATGCAGAACTAGCTGATTGCTGGGGCTCCATTCCCCCAGGATGGGGACACTGGGATGTGGATGGGGCAGAGCCCTGGAGGGGACCCTGGACACACAGCCCCACCGAGGGGACCTTCGGGGAAGCCACCTGCCAAGCCCTGCAAGTTCCCCACAGCCCTGGGTCCTGTAGCCCCCACATTTGAAGGTGAAATGGGAGTGGAATGTAGTTGGGGTGGCCAGAAGGTGGGAGGACGCCCTGAGCATGAGATGTGGGCAGGGCTGGATAGTCCAGGGTCTAGTACTCCCACAGCTCCACCTGGGATGGAGCCCTCGCTCCCACCCCAGCCTCACCAGGGCCCCAGTGGACCCTGGGAAGCAGCTGTTTACCCAGTGGTTGGGAGCTGTGGTGTAAGAAGCCGTTGGCCAGTGGGTGGGGTCACTCAGGGCCTCAGGACCCTCCCTGGGGCAGATAAGGAAAAGGGCCTCTCTGGGTTCAGCCACCAGCACGGTTTTTGGAGAACTCCTAGAGGTCTCTCTAAAGGAGGCTGGGAGAACTCTGGGTGCTGCAGCAGGGGTAGGGTGGGTTGTGTCACCTGGGGCCACAGAAAAACCTTGAGTCGAGGCGGCCCTTCTCCCCTCGGGAAGGGTGGTGGGGGTTTCCAGAGGTCGGCTTAGGGGGACCCATGGTGGGGTTTGAGACAGGTGAGCATAGTTCAGGAAGAGCACCCAGGCCCGTGGGCCTCAGCCACACTGCGGGGGCCTGGCCTCAGGGTCTTCTGTAGGCATTGGGCCTTACAGTCTCCACGCAGGCCAGGTGTCTAAAGCCACGAGGTCATCCCTGTAGGATCCTTGGAGCCTGACCTGCCCCCCTCCCACTTGTCTCTGCCTCAGTTTCTCTGCCTGAGCATTAAGACAGTGGCTGGTACTGCCCTGTGGCCAGGCTCAAAGGCTGAGTGCCCAGGGGTCCAGGGGCCTTGCTGGCCAGAGAGAGTGGGCAGCCCACTCTACCCCAGGCCTTCGTGGGCACCAGGCTGCAGACAACTCCTTCCTTGCCTGCTTTGCCGATGCAGGACAGGGAGCATGGAGGCCCCATGGCCTCGGACCTGCCTGAACCACCCTCCTGCCGGAACTCCTGGCCAGTCCTGTGCCACATGCTTACTCCTCCTTCATTTTGTCTTTAAGTCAACCGTTTTACGTGGGAGTGCATTGACTGGGAGTGGAAACATTGTATTATTGCCTCCCGCCCTGGAAAGAAGCCCCGCCACAGGGTTTTGGAACCAGTGACCCTCCAGCGGGTGGGTGTGCTCTGGGGACTGGAGAAGGGGGGGCCCTGGCCCGCACCCTTTAGCACCTGCATCCCCGTCGTTCTGGTCACAGCTGCAGGTTCTCCCAAGAGGTGGGTCTGTGCCCACCCCGTGCTGTGCCCGGGCACCAGCAAGCCCGGCCTCCACCCCTACCCCACACTCCCATCGCCACCCTCAGGAGCGCGCCGCCCCGCTACCCACCCCACGCTGTCTTCCCCCACCGCCTGCGAACCCCCATGCACGCGCGGCCCCGCCCCGCGCCCCCTCCGCCGAGCACGCGCGACCCGGATCCTGTGCCCCGCGCACTCACCAGGCCCGGCAGCCGCGCGATCCTCGCAGCGCACGCGCTCGGGCCCAGGGGCGGGGACGCGGGGCCCTGGGTGGCCAACCCGCCGCTGCCGCGATGAATGAGCCCGTTGTGCGGCAGCCGCGGCCCCGCTGGCACCCCTCGCTGGGTCTGACAGGGCCGAGGCGCCCCCGCGGCTTCTGCTCCCGGGCTGGGTGGTGGCCTGTCTGCGCCTCTGGCCGTGGTGGGGGGACTCCATGTCGCTGGCTCAGCCCCTCTCCAGCGAGGTCTCCCAAGGCCCCTCTCAACGGGACTGTCCCCGGGATCCTTGGCCTGGTGTCGTCCCCGGAGCGGGGATCCCGTCCCAGGCATCCCTCCCTGAGAGATTTGTCCCGCCAGATGATACTCAGGGGTTTGGGTGTCAGACTAGGGACATCTCTGATGCTGCCCGTCCCCCTCATCGCCTGCCCCAGTGTCAGGGGCCGCTTGGCCAGCGCCTCGGGGGTTACAGAGAAAGCCTGAAGCCCAGCGGGGCCTTCACTTCCTCCTGGTCACCATGGCCCACTACCCCAACCCCATGGGACTCTGGAATGTACCTCCTGCGCATTTGATTTTTGTCCAGGTGCTTCTTAAGTTTTACTTCTTTGCTGTCAGTGTGTCTTTTGGATGGAGAGGAGGGGGGGTGGTAGGGGCCAGGTGGGGTGGACCCCAGGGACACATGCTGGGCACCCAGCCCTGGGTACAGGAGCAGGTGGGGCAGGACCCCAAACCTGAGGGCTGCAGGCCCAGGCCCAGGCTCTGTCTTGATCTTGTACACCATGGGAGGACCTGAAGGGAGGCATTGAGGTGTCCAGACCTTTGCTGTGAGGTGGTGGGGCTGTGGCATGGGGAGACTGACAGGGAGCTGTATAGGGCTGATTCCGGTGCATGGTGGTAACCTTGTTCCCCACCACTGCAGATGAGGGACAAACCCAGCTCCCACGGGAGAGGCATAGCTCACAGTGGCTGTGCTCACCTGGGTGGCGTCCGCAGGAAGCCCTCAGACCCTGGCCAACCTGGTCTCTACTTCTCACTCCAGGTTCAGGGCTGGCGGCTATCCCATTCATCCCATTCCCCTCAGGCCAGAAGTATCGTCCACAGCCCCAGCCTCCTCATCCAGTTCACCCTCAGATGTCCAACTCTACATGGCTAGAACTGAGACCAGTCTCACTCCAAGCTCATTCACCTGCCCAGCTGCCCAAGCTGAAATCCACAGTTGCCCTGGACCCCACCCCCACCCCCCGACCCAGCTCACCTCAAACCTCATCAGTCCATCTGCTGCTCCTGCACAGCCAATAGCCAGTCTGGGCACCATACCTCTCCAGGTGGCCACCACGGCCCCCAGCCAGTCTTCCAGTCCCTACCCTGGCTCCACTGAGCCACCAGAGGGATCCTTTAAAAATGTCCTGGCACTGCTGGGCTCAGAACCCTGAAAGGGATCCCTGTTTCACTCTGGGTCAGGGTCCCATCCTCAAAGCAGTCACTTCCAGAGCCCCATGGAGCCTCCTCTCCCGTGATATCCACCCTCATTCTGCCCCAGGCCCACGAGCTGCCTCTCTGCTGCCTATCACGTGCACATTCCTCTGCCAGAGCCTTGCCCTGGCGATGCCATCTGCTGCCTGGGCATCCTCATGCCAGCCTGTCCCACTTCATGGCAGACTTAGATGCCTCCTCAGAGGGGTACCTCACTGACCATCAGGACTCCCACTCCCTGCTGTATCCCCTTCCCCGATGACACCTGTCCCCTCGAATGCAAGCCCTGTGGGAATTGAGCCCCATCTGCAAGTGCAGTGTGGCAGGGCGGCCCCTTCTCCCTTTCCTGTCCATCCATGTTGCCTCATGGGGTGTGGGAGGGGAAATGGGGCACTCCTGGACCTCCAGGAGGTACAGAGAAACAGGGTGGGGACCCAGCAGGTCCTGCCTGGCTCCTGAACCCTGGCCCTGCCCCTCAGTACCTGCCTGCCTCATCCCACCAAGCATCAGGGCCATTTTGAGCCCCCACCCCAAGTCTTCCATCTCTTGATGGTATAGGGCTGGGTGGGGGGGGAATCTCCATTTACAGACACGCCAGTTCACACTGGGCTTTCATGGGTTTATGTTCCAAGGGGAAGGGCCCCTTGGGAAGCCGGGATCCGAGTCCTGTGTGGCAGGCTCCCACCTGCTCTCTTGTGGCCACGGTTCCAGCCTGGGACCCTTCTTCCTGATGCTGACCGTCCTTCCACAGGGGCTCCGCTGGATGGGGCCCAAGCTACAACTTCACCCACCTGGACGGGTACTTGGACCTTCTCAGGGAGAACCAGCTCCTCCCAGGTGAACTGTGGGCTCTGCTCTCCCAGCCCTCCCACATCCCCTCGCCCTGCCCACCCTCTCCCTCACCCAGCCCCTTCGAGTCCTGGCTGGAGCCCACCCAGGACTGGCCTTGGTGCTGGAGCACAGGCCTGGCAGAGCATGGGTATTATGCGCGACAGGCAGTGGGGCAGCCCTCCTGTGTTGCAGGGTTTGAGCTGATGGGCAGCCCCTCCGGCCACTTCACCGACTTTGAGGATAAGAAGCAAGTGTTTGAGTGGAAGGACTTGGTCTCCAGCCTGGCCAGGAGATACATCGGTGGGCAGGCACAGGCCCTGGGGCCCCAGAACGGGGACAGTACTCCTGGGCAGGCTGCACCCTGATCACCCAGGCTGCCCCCCGGGTCTGGAACCCCTTTGAGCCGGGACTTCCTGATGGGGAGTGGAGGTTGGCTTGGGTGGGGGTGGAGTTCATCTTGAGTCAGACGCCCTGCATCACCTTGCACTCTCCCTCCCTGGGAGTCACTGAGGCGAGATTCACCTGTGCTGGGGGGACAGCAGGGGTCCTCTGCAGGTAGGTACGGACTGGCGCATGTTTCCAAGTGGAACTTCGAGACGTGGAACGAGCCAGACCACCACGACTTTGACAACGTCTCCATGACCATGCAAGGTGTGTGCGGCTTCCTGGGGTCCTGCCCCGCTGAAAGGGGCAGAGGAGGGCAGGAGCGGAGACTAAGCCGCTGGTCCCCAGGGCAGGTGTGGACGCAGCGCTTCTCCCCGACCCCAGGCTTCCTGAACTACTATGATGCCTGCTCCGAGGGTCTGCGCACCGCCAGCCCCGCCCTGCGGCTGGGCGGCCCCGGGGACTCCTTCCACCCCCAACCGCGATCCCCACTGAGCTGGGGCCTCCTGCGCCACTGCCACAACGGCACCAACTTCTTCACTGGAGAGGCGGGCGTGCGGCTGGACTATATCTCCCTCCACCGAAAGGTATGCCCTGCCCCTCCGCCCGCCCCGGGGTCCTGCGCCCTCAGCCGGGGTGCCCAGGCCATGCTGACTGGTGGTGGTGCTGAGGCAGCCCTGCCCGCAGGGTGCACGCAGCTCCATCTCCATCCTGGAGCAAGAGAAGGCTGTGGCGCAGCAGATCCGGCAGTTCTTCCCCAAGTTCGCGGACACCCCCATTTACAATGACGAGGCGGACCCGCTGGTGGGCTGGTCCCTGCCGAAGCAGTGGAGGGCCGACGTGACCTACGCGGCTATGGTGGTGAAGGTGGGCTGGCCCAACGCCCTGCACGCCCCCCAGACACCTTCGTCCCGGGACGGGATAGGGGAGCGATGGCTGCCCCACGCTATGCCAGTCGCCCTGGACACCCGCAGGTCATTGCCCAGCACCAGAACCTGCTGCTGGCCAACACCAGCTCCGCCATCCCCTACGCGCTCCTGAGCAACGACAACGCCTTCCTGAGTTACCACCCACACCCCTTCGCGCAGCGCACCCTCACCGCGCGCTTCCAGGTCAACAACACCCGCCCGCCGCACGTGCAGCTGCTGCGAAAGCCGGTGCTCACCGCCATGGGGCTGCTGGCGCTGCTGGGTGAGTCGGGGCCGCTGGGGTGGGCCGGCCAGGGCCCTCCAGGCTGCGATGCGAAGACCCCGCTGCGGGGAACGCACTTCTCCAGCCGCGCGCTTCCCGGGGTTGGCCTCCCTGAGGTGTGGCGAGGCGGGGCCTGGGGACTTCTTCCCCCAGGGAAGGGGGAGCGAGTGGAGGGAGGGGGTGGGGGGAAGGGGGCGGGGCAGCGACCCCACGCGGGAATCGCGCCCCCACCCCGCAGACGAAGAGCAGCTCTGGGCCGAGGTGTCGCGGGCCGGGAAGGTCCTGGACAGCAACCACACGGTGGGGGTCCTGGCCAGCGCCCACCGCCCGGAGGGCCCGGCCGACGCCTGGCGCGCCGCGGTGCTGATCTACGCGAGCGACGACACCCGCGCCCACGCCAACCGCAGCGTCCCAGTGACCCTGTGGCTGAGCGGGGTGCCCCCCGGCCCGGGTGAGCCAGGGTCCCAGGGAGGTCTGCCCTGTGGGGGCTCTGGAGGGGGCAGGAGCTGGAGGGGGCGGGACCGGGGGGGGCGGGAGCTGGAGGGGGCGGGACGGGGGGCGGGAGCTGGAGGGGGCGGGACCGGGGAGCGGGAGCTGGAGGGGGCGGGACCGGGGGGGGCGGGAGCTGGAGGGGGCGGGACCGGGGAGGCGGGAGCTGGAGGGGGCGGGACCGGGGAAGCGGGAGCTGGAGGGGGCGGGACCGGGGGGGCGGGACCGGGGGGGGCGAGAGCTGGAGGGGGCGGGACCGGGGGGGCGGGAGCTGGAGGGGGCGGGACCTGGGGGGCCGGGAGCTGGAGGGGGCGGGACCGGGGGGGCGGGAGCTGGAGGGGGCGGGACCGGGGGGGCGGGAGCTGGAGGGGGCGGGACGGTGAGCCCAGGCCCGAGTGTCCGGCTCCGCAGGCCTGGTCTACGTCACTCGCTACCTGGACAACCGGCTCTGCAGCCCCGAGGGCGTGTGGCGGCGCCTGGGCCGGCCGGTCTTCCCCTCAGCTGAGCAGTTCCGGCGCATGCGCGCGGCCGAGGTGGGTGGGCCGCGGAGGGGCGAGGGGCCGGTCCAGGGTCCCAGGGGTGTGGGTAGGGTCGGGGGGCAGGAGAACAAGGGTGGGGACCCCGAGTGGGTATGCATGGGGGGGCGGTGGGCTGGGGGCGTTCGCCCCGAGGTCGGGCTGAGCGTGCTTAGCCCGCCTGGAGAACCCGGAGGACCCGCCACTGCGCGCAGGACCCTGTGGCCGAGGCGCCGCGCCCCTTCCCTGCCGGCGGCCGCCTGACCCTGCACCCTGCGCTGCCGCTGCCGTCGCTCCTGTTGGTGCACGTGTGCGCGCGCCCTGAGAAGCCGCCTGGCCAGGCAAGTGGCAGCCCCCCCACCTGCGCCGTGGCGCGGACTGCCCCCTCCCCGACCCCATCACAGCCCCTCCCTCCCCCAGGTCACGCGGCTCCGCGCTCTGCCCCTGACCCGAGGGCAGCTGATTCTGGTCTGGTCGGATGAGCACGTGGGCACCAAGTGCGTGAGTGGGGCCACTCCTACCCCCTGCCTGGTCCTAGGCACGCCCCTGGGACCCCACCCCTTCACCCATGCGTTCACTCCTGCCACTCTTGGTGGCCCACCAGCTCCCTCCCTCGCAGCCCTGCATCCCTTCACCTCACACACTGTGGGCCTGATGCCAGGCCCTGCCAGTGGGTGTGGGTTCTCCTAGGGGACATGAAGTGGACAGTTGGGCTCCAGCCTTCTCCCCCTCCCCTGTTGGTGCAGGAAGAGTGCCCAGGGGTGTGAGGAGGTGCCAGAGGGAAGGGGGTGTGGGTCCACCCAGTCCTGCCCTGCCTGCCCCAGCCTTGAGGGCAATCTTGACCCCAGCCTTGATCTTGGCCTGATTTCCCCAGGTGCCTGTGGACATATGAGATCCAGTTCTCCCAGGATGGGAAGGTGTACACCCCGGTCAGCAGGAAGCCATCGACCTTCAACCTGTTTGTGTTCAGCCCCAGTGAGTCCACCACCCATGGCCCTGGCCTCGGCCACCCCAGTCTTTGGGTGGGGGCCTCGAGAAGCCTGGGGTCAGGGGGCTTTCGGGACATGGGCAGGTTTGTGTTGACACACGTTCTTAGCACACATATCCCCGTGTCTCCAGACACAGGTGCTGTCTCTGGCTCCTACCGAGTTCGAGCCCTGGACTACTGGGCCCGGCCAGGCCCCTTCTCAGACTCTGTGCGGTACCTGGCAGCCCCTGCACCGGGAGGGCCATCCCCCGCCAGCAACCCGTGAACCTGTGCTGAGCCCCGACGGGCTGCACCTGCCTGGCAGTCAGCTGGCTGAACTGCTCTGCTCCCCTGCTGCCCTCCGCCGCCCCCCTTTACAAAATACTTTTATGTTTTATTTTTTTCTTTCGTATCTTGGTACCGACACCCCCTTTAAAGTGGCTTTACACTCAGTCTCAGGCCTAGGCCCTAGGCACATTTGGGGGTGGCCACAAGGGGAAACCCCAGCGGCTGAACCCCTGAGGACCCACCTGGAGCGAGGCCTCTTTCCTCCCCATTCCCACTCAGACTGCCCCCAATCCTGGACTGGAAGTGTGTTGAGCCCCTGGAGGGCTGGGGGCCTGTCCCTGGTCCAGGCTGGGGAACCAGCTCAGCCCTGCCCACCCAGGGGTTTCTGGGATCCTTGGCTTTCTTGCTTGTTCTGCAGAGTGGGGAGCTGAGGCCCCATGAAGGAAGACCCCTGTACCCCAGCAGGGCGGAGGGTGGGGTGGGGGCACCCCTTGCAGCCCAGGCCGTAGCCAGCAGCAGTATCGACCATGGTCTGTGTCTCCCCACCACAGACTGTCCTAGCTCCAGATTTGAGACGTGGCAGGGCCAGATGAGGACAATTTGGTGACTGTTTACAGAGATGGAGGCAGGGTGCCAGGAAGCCACGGGGCAGGGTTGCCCCCAGGGGCACTCACCAGTCCAGGCAGGGCTGGGCACCCTGGTGAGGAGCAGGGACCTTCTACCCAGGGGTGTGGCCAGGAGCCCAGCAACCAAGGCCCTTCTCTCTCTTCCCTTGCTCCAGGCCACCTTTGGCGGCACTCAGCCAGAGGGCTGGGGCACAGGAACTCTGCAGGTTACTCTGGAGGCTGTCTGGGGCTCTGGTGGGGATGGGGGGCAGTGAGCCCACTGGCTTCATTGTATCTCCCAAAGCCCATGTCCCTTGCTTGCTCCCAACCAACGTGGGCCCCCAAGGTGCTGGGGTGGGACAGAGACCCCACGAGGGACCCTCCCCTCACTCTTGGACCTGGCTGTTGTGGCTTTTGGCAAAAATAGCCACATATATTCCAAGTTTATCCCTCAGCTGAGAATCCTGGTGTGAGCCTGGCCCCCAGGGTGGTAGCTGGATCCTCCTCTGGAGGCAAGGTAGAAGTCAGCAGGGGGTCCTGAGGCCCCACGGCACTGGCACCAGTCTTGGCTGAATGACAAAGCTGCATCTCTCTCCTTCCCAGTGAAGCTCTGTCTCCGTCACCTTCCCTAGCGGCCATCAGCTTGCCAACAAGTCCACACCCTCCAGTCTCGCTGATGGGGTCACTTTGGCCTTCGCTGAGAGTGGGTCAGGCTTGAGGCCATGCCAGGAACCAGGGAAGCCCACGCTGGCCGTCAGCTTACACACAGCCTTGTCCCTGCCTCTGGGTGCTTTGTGCCTGGGTCCCTGGAGCAGTCGCTGGGTGGCAAGATGAGACTGCATTTGACGTCCCCTGTCCAGAGGACCTCCAGAGAGTGGATGTCGTCTGGACAAATACAGGCACTTCTGTGGGATGGAGAACCCTCACTCTGCCTGTTGTGCCAGCCCAGGGCTTGCCTTCTCCCCAGTCACCTTGTTACCAAGCTTCTCATCTTTATCTCCTGAGTCTGGCCAACGTTTCCATGGATGCTGCCCGTGGTGGAGCCGAAGGTGGCTGGATGTGCCACCTTGGTTCTGCTGTGGGGCACCTTTTCCATCTTCCAGGGCCAGCCCCCCGGCTATGATGCTGTACCTGTCCCCTTCCGGGTGACAGTGTGCACTCTGCATCCATAAACGGCCTCTTCACTTTCCCTTCTCGTCTGGAGGCTGGTGGGATGATTGTCACGAAGCCCTCAGTGTGGGCTGAGGCCCCGGCAGATATTCAGGAGGAGCAGTTTCATGGGAGCTCCAGTCTTTTGCCCACAGGACAGACTTCCAGACATGCTGGGGCTGAGTCTGCAGTACTTGGGTAGACACTGCAAGGTCTTGGCTCTTCCTGGGCGGCTGAGTCACATGGCAACTGAGTGCCATTAGGCTTCGCCAGGGTGGACAGGCAGCTCAGAGCTGCTTTCCAAGTGACTGGAGGAAATGCGCTTTGACTGGGATGCGAGGTCTGGGCTTGCTGGGGGCATGGCGCTTCTGCCAGACGCTCTGGGCAGGGCTGGGCCTGCTGGGCACCCACACATGTAGCAGGTGGAGCTGTCACAGCCTGGACCTAATGCGGGGCTTCTGGCCAACATTACCTGCTGTCCAGGGAACGGGTGGGAGCGGGACACTTGGGTGTGCACACTGCTCCCCAAGCCCAGATCCACCCGAGATGGAGTCTCACTCTGTCACCCAGGCTGGAATGCAGTGGTATGGTCTCGGCTCACTGCAACCTTCTCCTGGGCTCAAGCAGTTCTGTCTCAGCCTCCCAAGTGGCTTCGATTACAGGTGCCTGCTACCACACCAAGCTAACTTTTGTATTTTTAGTAGAGACGGGGTTTCACCTGTTGGTCAGGCTGGTCTTGAACTCCTGACCTCAGGTGGCCCTTGCGTCACATAAGTACCCACCACGTGCAGACTTTCTGCTTAGAAACTGGCCTGCCCATCCCCTCTTCCCACAGCTGCTGGTGTCATTGGTCATCTCATCACTGCTGCAGACCCAGAGGGTACTCCAGAAATGTGTGTGTGCCTCAGCCGTCGGGACTGGTCAGAGCCTGCTGCTGCTGCTCCTGGGGCACTGTCCCTGCAGGGTGTGTGGAGGCCCAGCTCCCACCTCTGTGCACAGGCTGGGTTGAGTCCAGGCCAGCGACCACCGGCTCTTTCCAGGAGCTCAGGCCGGTGGCCAAGACACCAGTGCTGGCGACTGGCCCAGGCGGTGAGGTGGCCAGTCTGTCAGACCCACATTTTGTATTTTGTGTGAACTTGGATCTGCCCCTGTGATGTTCCCCAGGCAGCTGCTGCTGGCACAGATGTGCCTTCCTCTCCTTGGAGCGCCCCTAGGTGTGGCCATGCCAGCGTCTAATCTGGGGCCAGTCCTGGGCAGAGCAGCATGGGCACAGACACAGATGGCACTCTTGCACAGGAGGTGGCCCAGCTAGGGACTCAGCGCCCTTCCCCATGTCCATCTGCCCCATGCCCACCTGCCCTGTGCCCTCTGCGTCTCAGGTCCCTCCTTGCTGTGCACCTGCTGGTTTCTCTGCAGATACGGGCCCCTGTGGGGTGAAGCCCTCAGTGGGGCTTGGGCACTGGGCACTAGCCCTGTTTGTCCTGCCTGTGGCCGAGGAGCAAAGCCATGGGCGCTGGGCCCCACTGCCCTCACGGCTGTCTCACCTTTTCAGAGGGAGAAGCCAGGGTCAGCCGCCCCATCTCAGAATCACTCCTGTTGCCGTGGCAACTCACCTCCCGGTCTCCGACCCTTGTCCTCCACTCGTGCCTCCTCCCATGCCTCTGGGGGTGGGGAGGGGTCAGGAGGGGCAGTTTGAGGAACTGTGAAACAATTTCCCCACCAAAAGCTTAGACCTGGCTCCGAAAATTTGTCACCTGACCCCAGGACCCCATCTGCAGGTTCTGTGTCCTGGGCCATTCAGGCACTGATGACCTCAGGGCCCAGAGGGGTAGGGGCAGTGGATGGCAAGGAGGCTGCTCTGAGCCTGGGCCCTCACCACAATGAGGGGTGTGGCAGACTCCATTGGGGGTAGGGGGCCTCTCTTTCCTTGGCCCCACCCACATTGGGACATTACCACATGGATGAGACCTGGCCTGCCCCAGGGTGAGCGCCCTAACTGTAGGGCTGTTGGCCCCACAGGGTCGTGGGGTGTCCCTTATGGTATGCTGAAGTGCAGGATCCAAGGAGTAAAGGGACAGGACACTGAAGAACTGGAGAAGAGCAGCTGGACTCGGGGGGCCATGCCACCTGTGAGTGGGGACAGGCGAGGCCCAGAACACACAGAAGTGTCTGTATTTATTAGGTACAAGCAGAGGGGAGGGTCATGAGAGGTCATCATCTATAGGCTTCGTGATAGGGCATACATAATCATGTGAGTCAATCGAGGGGGCCACCCCATTATGTCACCGGGGCAGAGAGGTGGGCCATGCGCAGCAGGGGGCCATGCTGTGTGCAGTATTAGAGCGTCATGTACAGAAAAGGAGTCCACCCCCATTAGGTCACCGAGGCAAGTACGTGAGCTGTGTGCAACAGATGTCGTGCGCAACACTTCTTATCTGGGGGCTGGAGACTTCAGAGGGTTTCTAATGGAAGGATACTGTAAGCCAGTGCAGTGGGAGCTGACAGGCCTGTGCTCTTCTCTTAAGATATTTATGGGAGGATGCTTTCAGCTAGCACAGAAGGGAGAAAAGACTGACCCAGTCACACCAGAGGGGTTCTTCTCCCTTGGTTACTTCCAGGATCTCAGGCCTGAGGTCGACTTTCCACAGGAACTGGATGCAGGTGCTACAGTTCCTTTATCAGGAGGAGAGGCACTTGCTCCAAGCCTGCCATACATAGTATGCCCTTTCAGGCAGGGACGCCGCCACCTGGGTCTTTGGTTCTTGTCCTGGTCTGGCTGTTTTCCCGTGTGCTGCTTCTGTTCTGTGACTGCTCTGGGCAATCCTCCTACTACAAACTACTATACGGTTCTATGGAAGGATTGTATAAATCACACTAAATGTGTCGGTAAGCACCGACTACATCCGTTATATGATTATATAGAAAGATGATATGGAAACAAGTGTGATTACATGGATCAGCTAGATACAGTAAGCAGTAAGTTATATGGTTATATAGAAAGATTATATGGAAATGAGTGTGATTATATATACGTAAGCTAGATATGAGTAAGCAGTGAGTTATACTTCAGGCACTAATTGTGCCTGGGGTCTGCACAGTTCTTCCTCGGTGCCTATGGGGGGTGTTACCACACCCAACACCAGGTCAGGAATCCCTGCTGCAGCTTTCTGGTGGAGGGGTCCCACCTGGGCTGAAGAGAGGCGCCTCCCCACCAAGGCCCAGACTGGGCCCTGCACACCCTACACAGCAGCCCTTCTCTTGCTTCCATGCCCCAGTGCAGCCCGTCTCTTGGGGCCTTGGTGCCTGGCTTATAGGATAGCAATTCCTCCAGGGCCACAAGGGAGGGGCAGAGGGA